CAAACTGGGCGACTCAGAACAACAGCAGTTTATTCCCTCGAGGCTAGAAGTCCAAAATCAAGGTGTTGGCAAGGCTGAGCTCCCTCTGAAGGCTCTAGGGGAGGATCCTTCCTTGCCTCTTCCGGCCTTTGGTGGCTCCTGGTGTTCTTTGGCTCATGGCCACATCACCCCAGTCTCTGCCTCCATGGTCACACCGCCTCCTCCGATTCTTCATGGATTCTCCTCTGTGTCTGTTCTCTCTCTCCACTTCTCTCTTATGAGGACACTCCCCATGTCCCGCCCAGAAAATCTAGGGTAGTCTCATCTCCAAATCCTTCATTACATCTGCAAAGATCCTTCTCCAAATAAAGTAACATTTTCAAATTCCAGGGATTCGAGCCTGAAATCCAGGGTAGCGATCATCCAAACTATTACAAGATCTCTGAGATTCCCACCCCTCACCCCCAAAGAAGGGTGGAAATGGTCACGAAAAAAGAAAACCAACACTGATCTGCATACAGAGATACGGAAAGACTTCAAGCCCAGCTATTCAGTGAAAAAAGCAAAATTTATAGTAATAGATCGAGCACAATCCTCTTGTTCATTCACTCAACAAATATTTTGAGCACCTACCAGCTCCATTCTAGGTTCTGAGAATTCGGCAGTGACCAAACCAGACAAATATCCCCTCATGGGGCGAGTATTTGAATAGTGAGACAACAAATAAGAAAAAATAAATAAGAAAATACTAGGAAGTGGTAAGCGCCATGATAAAAATAATTCAGAATAATGTGAAAAATCCCCTGGGGTAAATTCTAAAATTACACGTGTAAGGATTTTTTTTTTTCTTCCTGCAAAAATACAGAGCTATTTCACTGTGGTTACTTTGCTGGAAGAGGCTGGAGACTGGAGGCTGGAAGAGGGAGACTTGTTTTTCATTTTATACCTTTCTGGAACTTCATTTTCTTAACGTTGAGTGTGTCACTTTTAGTATTTTTTATTTTTTTTAAAAAAAGATTTTATTTATTTGACAGAGAGAGCACAAGGGGGAGTGGCAGGCAGAGGAAGAGGGGGAAGCAGGCTCCCCATTGAGCAGGGAGCCCGATGTGGGGCTTGATCCCAGGACCCCGGGATCATGACCTGAGCCACCCAGGAGCCCCTTTAGTATTATTTTTTTAAAAAGATTTTATTTATTTTTTTTGACACAGACAGCGAGAGAGGGAACACAAGCAAGGCGCCTGGGTGGCTCAGTAGTATTATTTTTTAAAGTGGCAACCAAATGTAGCTGGGCAGAGAGATCTGGGCCACGTTTTGCTTTCTTCCCCCATCCTTTTTGGATTTCTCATCTCTTTTAAACACGTATAAAAGTGGGAGCTGTGATTATCGTTTGTTCTGGGGCGGCTGGAGAAGGCTCTCCGCTGCCAGAGATCTGAGTAATCTAAAATACCCACAGCGGAACTGCTCAGGGGTTGGCAATTTTAGAATGTTGAACACTTGAGGTTTTCATTTCGAGGATAATCCTCCCTGCCCCGCCCCCGCCCCACTCCCACACATAGACACACACACACACACACACACACACACACACACACACACACACACA